ATTATGAAACAAAATTAAAAGTAACGAATGATTTAATTAAAAATTAAATTACAGTAGTTACTTAAACGTGTACACTAAATTTCATAAAATTTTATGAAAAGTACATTAAATTTCATGTACATGTATACAAATATATATATATTTTTCGGTTATAAATACATTAAATTTAACGTAATGTCATGAAATTAAATTCAAATTGTGTAACTTAAAGGCACATTAAATTTCATGAAATTTTTAACAGTGTACATAAAATGTTAATAAAATTCAGAACATTTTTTTTATTGTATAGGTGAACTTGAAATATCTTCTTAATGATAGTCTTCATTGATTTTCGAGGAGACATCTTAAAAGAGAAAATCATCAAAGTACGTGCATCCACAAATGCATACCTATAATTACGTGTTCCAAGATAAGAATTATCGAACATAATGAAATATCACTCTGTATCACTCTTTATCTAGCTATGACAATTATTATTGCTTGTATTTTCTCGGTCCCGAACAAGCAATGACTCTTCTATAATATTGTACATTAAACGAATGATATTTCTTGTTCGTGTCAAGTTACGAAAGCGAACAATTGAAATATCCGCTAAGTGTAATGTCTATCACTGGAAAAAAAAAAAATATGACGCGCCATTATCCGGTGTTTAATCGACACTCATCTTCGACAGGAAGATGAATATTATTACTGAGATATCTCCGCAAGATAGCATTACTAGAATAATGTAATACTTGTAGTATCATGTCTTATGTAGTCATCTTTATTATAGATTCTAAACAGGCCGTCGGATTTTCAATTCTCGCGCCGAAATGACATGACGATGGTATATCGCATTATAAAAAATATTCGATTATCAAAATAAATATTTTCACGATCGATGGCACGATAATGCATGATCGATACTACGTCTTTATTTAATTATCAAAGAGCAAATGACTGATATTCAAATCCAAAGTACTCTCTGATACTTTTAGAGTGAATTTACTTTCGAGAACATCCAAAACGATGATTCGCGGATAATATCAGTAAAATGAAATTTTATCATTTCAAGTGAAGCGATTTACTTCGCGTACGCGATAAGACGGAACAAAGACTGTCCAATGATATTTACCACTCGATATTGTTATTGTACGTTTATCTATCGATTATATACATCGATTCAAGCAGGCATTTCGAGTAAATTAAAGAGAAATATTCCATTTCTTGAAAAAAATCATTCATTTCCTAAAACTTTTTCTAAAAACTTTTTCTATAGTCTTAGATGCACTTGAGATGCACGCGTATGATTAAATTGAGATTTGTGTGTTTCTTTGGGTTCGAAAATTATAGGTATACCGACGTAATTGATGTACATTGGAAACCTCTGAAGTATCATGCTACATCGGCCTTCCTGCAAAATTGCGATCACTAACCCTACTCGTAAGAAACGTCGAATTATTCCTTTTATGATGGATTTTTCATCGGGAACTCGGAGAAATACATGCACGTTACTTACGAATCAAAATGTTGCGCTCATGCGAATGAAAAAAAATTAATGAAGGCAATTATCCATCGCGATTGTCCAGTAACTTGATTTTATCATAAAAATAAACAGCATTGAAAACGATCGATTCTATAATCCCCGTTTGATTCTTTTTTTAATACCGCAAAAACTGATTCGTTGTGGAAGTATTCTCATGCGAGCTATACGAGCAAGACAAATGCGTCATGTTTCTATAAATAATCGAAATATACAACGTACGTAATCTATGACGTATGTATACTTGACTCATAAAATATGTAACAAAACGTCGCGTGTTAAATATAGTCTGAAATATAATCGCAATACAAAGGGCATTAGAGTAAATGGTTTGTGCGTAGGTATATATTCGGTATGACTTCCTATAACACATAAATAAGTATAGTAACATTTAGATTATCGATTTGGAGCATAGGTACAGCATTGATACTCTACACAACAGGTGGTATTGTTTAGCTTCCGTCCATGAATTGCATAGCGTCAGTATATAGTATCAGATGGTCTGCTAGACGTTTATGTTTAATTTAAAGTATGAAATGAAGCTATTCACAAGTCTCTCGCTTTTGTGCGCCACATTCCAGCGTTATCTCTCTCATATGCTGTATCACGATGATAAGAGTACTCGGGACTGTACTTGCGAAATACATAGAATTCGCGCTCACTGCCACGCCGTTGCATCGTGCTACTTTTCTTTGAACATACATTTCTTTGACGTGTTTGGCACACGAGCGGTGTACTTTCACTCGATGGTCAATGTCATCGGAAACCAGTTTGTAATCATACGAACAACGCCGGCTCATTCCTGTATACGAGAAGATGGAGAAAAAAAGAAAATCCTGTATTCGTTTTGGAAGGTTTTTTTGAGTATGTGTAAATGATTCGAAAGATATTCACGGCTCAGGTCTTCGAACAATAAAGTTACCTACTATCGCATCAGATGTTCAACACGTGATACATTATTTAAAAAACTATGTAATATCGGATAATTGATCGATGCTAGGAAGATAGTTACGCGATAAGTAATATTATTTTCACGAAATAAGTTAAACGATACTTTGTTGCTAATAATAGAGAGGCAGGTTGTTGCTTGTAAAAAGTTTTTAAATCGATATCATATTCTGCTTTCCCATAACAACAAATTAAACACACCTTTAGTTATAAAAGATATAAAAATAAATCTTAGTCTGAAATGAGAAAACTAAAATCAATTCAAACTGAAAAGAAAGAAATTTCACTCCAAAAGACTGAAAATTGAGTCAGTCTTGAAAAAAAGAGTGGAAATATTTTCACTCTTGAACAAGTGTGGCAGATTTTCATTCTTTAGGAGTGAGATTTTATTCTTTTGGAGCAAGATTTCAGTCTTTTGGAATGAATTTCACTCCAAAAGAATAAAATCTTCAAAAAACACTGAAAATCTGCCATTCTTGATCAAGAGTCAAAAGTTTCACTTTTTTTTAAGATTGGCTCAATTTTTACTTCAAAAGGTTTAGAGAATAAATAAAAGTATGATTCATAGATAAAGATTGGTTGTCGCTCACTATTAACAATATTCAAGCTACTATAGAGATAAAGCTTCAATCTATAACGTTTTTAATTCCAATGGCGAATTACTATACACGAACATTCAACGATGCGTTAAAATATTCACTGAATATTCCATACAGTATTCTATCATCTAATTTCATTGGACATTAAATACATGTGCATGTTTCTGCACTCTTCGAAAATAACTTGTAACTAGTTGCATTGTATAGATATTTATTAACCTGTATTGTAATCTGGATGAAAGTTAACGTAATATTAAAATGTATTATATTATAAAAATTTTACGATACATAATAAGCAAATTAAGCATATTAAGCAAATTATTTTACATGAAAATAAATAATGTATGATAATTTGTAATATTTGCGAGTGGATTATTTCTTGGATATTCGATACAGGAAATTATCCAATTTTCATTCGTTTACGTTTATGTTTAGTAAGCAATGTTTTGTAAGCAATTATGGTAATTATATAGCGAGAACTCGGACGATTGCTATCTAGAAAGATTCCCTAGTCCGTGCTGAAGTCGAATAATGTAACATTTGGAATGCAGTTCAAGGGCGCAGTACATTCACATACTGTGTAATTTACAAAATAATCTTTTTGCGGTTTCACGACTTTTTCTTGTGTGACGCTACGTATTCTATAATAATGTACTATCATATCCAGGTAATGCCTAATCGGCTGGATATTAAATGTTACGTTACGCTCTGAATGTTAGCTTTTCTTTCCGTTTCTATCAACTAAGTTTTATCATGGATTTTTAAAAATCATCGACTTGCCCAATCGAATATTATCCAATTAATGCTGACATGAAGTATGCCGGTCACGTGTTGGACTGGATTACGAAAATCTCAGATTAATTTAGATAAAGAATATTCGTTAAACTGCAACGATTACGGAATATAAAGAAAAATTAGTTCTTCGTTCTACACACGAAAATACTCAGGAGCTATAATTATAAAAGTAAACTGTATGAATATATTATGTTTAATTTATTCATGCCGGCGAAGAATCAACAGAATGAAGTCATCTTGATTCTTTAAATATTCATAAAAAAATACGTGATAATTCGCAAAAACACTGTGTGTGTCGCTTATTAAAAAGTGGTGTAACTATTTGCAATGCAAAGCCTGAATTTCAAAATTCAGCAGATTTTATTAAAAACAAATATACGAACAACAAAAATAAACCGCCTTTGTTGTACGTTCTTCGCGAAACGCATGAACGTATGAAATGTGCTATACGTGATATTATGAAAAGATGTTACAATAACCTGAGTAACAATCTAATAAAAGAAAGCGGAGAAATTTCCTTTTTCTTTCGACATTCAATTCTTTCGTAGCATTTCGCTATATTAATTCACTTGCCTCAATCAAATGTTAAAACAGTTTTAATTACTAACAACTCGTAGGACAATATTCGACTATGAAATCTCATTGACTTGCCCAATCGAATATTATCCAATTAATACTAACATGAAGTATGTCGATCACGTGTTGGACTGAATTACGAAAATCTCAGATTAATTTATAATAGATAAAGAATATTCGTTAAACTGCAACGATTACGGAATATAAAGAAAAATTGGTTCTTCGTTCTACACACATGAATAAAATACTATCAGTAGCTATAATTATAAAATTGAATATATTATGTTTAATTTATTCATGCCGGCGAAGAATCAACAGAATGAAATCATCTTGATTCTTTAAATATTCGTATAAAATGATAATTCGACAAAAACATTGTGTGTGTCGCTTATTAAAAAGTGATGTAACTGTTTGCAATGCAAAGCCTGAATTTCAAAGTTCAGCAGATTTTATTAAAAACAAATATGCTAACAACAAAAAAATAAATGCCGATAATTCGACTGTGAAATAATTTGTACGATTAGGATATCGATAATAAATAGAGATAGAAATGTACTCACTATTTTTGCGGCCTTCTCGGACCTTATATGTAAGATCGGTGAATGCCAGGTCGACCGGTGGTCTTTTCGGCAAATGCGTGATCGTCTTTGGTTGCATCGGCACGATCTGCAGCCGCACCGCCGAGTTCTTCCTAGGTTGCAACAAAATTCCATTGGAATCCTCCGCCGTTGAACAATTTCCCTCATGCTTCATCTTTTAGACGAGATATTCCGTCCTTTTCTTCTAAATGCCGATCGCTGATCCTTCGATCAACCGCGCGCGTTTTTCCTTCGCAATGTTTCGAGATCGAATCACTTTTCGTGAAGGTAACATGCGAAAAAATTCCGTAATCGTCGATTTTTCACAACCTGCAATATCGCCCACATGATGCAATGCAGCTTCGCAAGACATGTTAAATATAGCATTTAATTTTTGGGAGGGGGAGAAAGAGAAAATTATATCCGTATTACGAGTTATGTTTCTGTAGCATGTTTGATTCGATAGCAAATCTACTCGCTGACATTGTGAAATCAGTCACGTGGAATTATTTAAAATTCAAGTTTGCAAATTTTTTTTCTATTGGAATTCAATCGCGCTTCTTTCAATTCAGTGAAGACATTAAAATTATATACTCTGCTTTATAATAATTTACGTAAGCATGCAAGTCTCTTTTCAGCAAAAAATTGCGCTTCTATCGAATCAGCTATTGAAGTTTTACATCCCATTTTATTATGATTTAATACCATTCACGGAAAGACGCAAAAAACGTTAAAAGAAAAAAATCGTAGATACTGAGATGTGAATAAATGTTACATTTGCATAGAATATCGAAAGAAGAATTTTTTGCTAAAGTATTTTGAAGTATCTAAAAATTTAGTTAAATACAGATTTACAAATAATTTTATTGGATATCAAAATAATTACATAAAAATCTCAAACATGATGAGCAATAAATCTTAACATTCTAGCAAGAAATCCTATATCTTAGTAATCAACCTTCCCAAATTAGGAAGAATAGTCTCAAATTTTAACTCTTCGTCCCAAACTTTGTCTCAAATTAAGAGCACGATTATAAATTGTTCCTCTTTTAAGTGTAAAAATAAAAAATGTAAAACAAGAGTGGATGTAATAAGTGTGAAATATAATTTTCAACTAATATATGAAAATATTTTGATTTTTTATTTAAAATCCTAGATATTATTCATAAAATATATTCAGTAGAAATAAAATAAATATAAGTAGAATTTAAAAAAATATAATGTGATCTGGTAACACGACGTAATCTTTGTTGTGATCTTATGTGATTACACATTAAGTCTTAGTTATTTACAAACATAATAATATAATATGTTGTTTATGCATTTCGTTAACAATTACTTAAAAAATGTTTATTAAAATTTAATTATGACAATTAATATTGAATTTCTTTTTTAATATCCCTTTTGACCTTCTTAATCACCTTATTCTGCTTAATTATTAATATATTTTGATAACTCAACAAAATTATTTTCAGATCTATATTTAGCTAAATTTTTAGATACTTCAACAAAACCGTCCATACATAAATATTGATCATTTTTCATATATAATCCTTCTGTATACACGATGATCTTCCAGCATTAATTTTCACTTTAACAAATATTATTAATAATTCTTGCGTATATTTTAATAGCCGAGAGATTAATCATTAATAAAAATGATTTCCAATTTCTTATATGCACTTTAAAAATGATTTCAAGGTGATTTTTCGGAAGAAATTTGGAATGTGCGATCTAACGTATGGCGATACTTTTTTATTTCAAATTAATTCTTTATTTCAATAATAAATGCTGGATTGCTTCATTGAATAATTTCCTCACTGATTTTGCAGATAAATAGCCCCTCATTAACATCTTTCAGAAAGAATATGTTCTACATATTTCATAATATGACAATTGGCACTGTGACATTTTTGTACGAGTTCACCTTCACATGATGAAAGAACACGTTTATATTGTACATACTTATATTACACGAATTGAAACAAACAGTTGAATTTAATGTTAGCTATATGTAATTCTGCGTTTTAAGAATATTGCGAATTTATTGAAGATGGCCAGATTGTGGCTGAAATATCTAATGTTTTATTAATGTAATGATAATTAAATTCACAAATCAAATCACAAATAATATCTTGTGCGGTGGTTTTTATGCTCTTCTTTTCATAAATCTTTCAGAAAGTATTCGTAAGATTGTATTTAAATAAACTGTATATAAATGTCATAACTAATCACCTGATATTCTATTTATCGAAGAAGAAAAACGTGCGAGACACAATGATCCAATTGTATATACTAAGGATTAAAAATGTAATCATTAACATTAAATATCTCATCGCAGTACAATACTGAAGTAAAACATAAATGATTAATTATATTTCTGCAATTTACTCTAATCGATTATTATAATTTCCTAATAAGATAAATCACTATACAAATCACTTGACACACACATTTACACAAAACCAGCATTACCTATAATTTCCTAACATATAATATCGATTAGGCGTATAAAGATCACATGCAATAAAAATATGTAAAGCAGAAGAAAAAACAAGATATAAATATAAAATTGTTTTATAAATTACAATAATATTTTATACAAGTATACGAACAATTTCTGATCGACTGTCATCATCATAACAGACTTTTTTACAATAACGATTAATTTTACCAGCATATTTTAAATAATTTTTATGTAACTATTTTCCATATTTTAAAATTAATTCTATACGATAAGAAATATTTGAGCCGCCGTATTGTGTTGCAATAACAAAATTCACAGCAAGAAAAATCATCAAGTTTTTTTCCAGGAAATACACAAATAGACTTTTACGAAAACATTAAAAAAAAAATCTCTCTCTTTCTTACGAAGGTTCTACTCCAGCAAATCTGACAGCGAAAATCACAGAACCGAAACCGCCTCTTTCAGAGATATTGTCTACGTTCGGCAGAGAAAATTATTAGTTAGCGATAATGATTGAGTCTTGCCTTTAGTTCTTCGCTAAATCTAAATGTAAGAATCAATTTTTATAATTATTAAAGAATCACTAAGCTCTAACTAATTATAGTTTTTCATTAGTTTTCTCTGCTGAACGCAGCTATTCTTTTGTGGAAAAGAGCGAAGAATAGAATAATTTTGATGCACTGATTCTTACATTGCTCAACTTCGCGACGTTTCCTTTTGCCGTCGTTGAAGAAACCTCTCCGCGGATATCGAAATTAGCCTTGAGATGCAACGAAGCGCATCTCCAGATTTAACACAGAGCGATCACGAGTACAACGAATGTGAATGAGACGATCAAGAATGACAGACGTAATTCACTCGATCCGTACGGTTGCACGTGTCGCGACGCACTCCCGAGCATACGCGATATATCGCGGTTTTTAAAATCTCACCGGATACGCTCCGATAATAAAGACTCGCGGCAGGAAGTAACCGGTACGGTGGGGAACCGATGAGAGACGAGCGAGCGGTGCTTTACACCTTGTGATGCAACCACCGCCCGCGACGACTCGAACTGAACTGAGCTAAAAAGCCGCAACTGCAAGTCCGTTGCCGATGACCGACATCCCTTTTGTCTCGCCCCCCCCTGGCCTTCCTATCCTTTTTCCATTCCGTGCGACTAAGGAAGAAGGCATTTACGGTTGAACATGAGAACAACGCTATCGACAGATCAAAGTCTACGTAAATGTGATGACTAACATAATGTTAGCTATATCCGCACCGAGGGAGGTCAGTCATCCTCTTTGATTTTATCACCATCTTATCTTTTTGTCATTTATTATATGATAGAAAATTAGAAAGCTGTAGGCGAATATGACGTCCAATAACTGTTGAAAATCGTACGAATTCTCACTGCATTTTAACGAATCATTTTCACAATCAGATTGAAAATTTCAATACTCTCTATGTTACATGGCAAAATTTGGCGAATAAAATTTGTATGAAATATAAAGTGGCATCTACAGTGAGATTTTTTGTCTCGGTTCACAACTTTGCTTTAAGAAGTCTTAAGTCATAAGTCGAAAGAGGTTATAAGCGAATTGAGCAAAACCCAATTCTTACGGCCTAAAAGTATAAGTTCTGTGTCTATCTTTGATATATCATCACTTACAGCTTACGGCTTAAGACCTTTTAAGCCCAGTTTTTCATTAACCTGGATTTACAATAGATGATTTAAGCCTTAAGCCGTAAGACATTGACCAATTATATAGTCGAAGAATGCGAGAAGAATAATCGACTGTGATTTGTCCATTTCTTACTCTCTAAATCTGAATCAGTGGATAGTCACTAATTATCCAATGGCATACTTTGGACGAATTAAAAAAGGACGAATGTTTGAGCATTATATAACTAAAATACTGATATTTGCACATTAATTTCAATCTTCCAATATCATATTCATTGAATTTAAGTACTAAAAATAGGTCAGTTAAATCACACAATAAAGATTAGCTAGGGATCTCACATTTAATTCACTGATTATCAGTGGCATACACTGATATTAGTGATTATCCACTGATTCAGATTTAGAGAATATGGCTATGGAGACGAAATTAAATATAATTAAATATAATACTTTTAATCTCTTGCACGCACATTATCTAATAGTACACACTTTTAGAATTAGATTATGTATAATACAACACGCTCTTAACAGAATGTAAATGAATCGCGTCTTGAATTGCTACTGAGAACACTCACCTAAATGGTTCCTAAGCAAGATACGTTTGTCCACAGCGACGGTTCACAGTAGAAGAGACAAAGGAAATGAAAGTCTCTTAAATGATGTATATAGACATAAATAGATGGCGGAATGTAAATTGAAGCATTCCAGAAACATAAACATTAGTCAAGGATATCCTAATTAATTGATGTACGCAGCACATCATAGAAAAGTCAAGTTGTCCTCGAAAATATTAAAAAAAATTAAAATTAATTAACGTGTTACGCATTATTGCTCGGTAATAACGTCAGTGATGATTAATCTCGATTTCAGTCAGCCATTAGTATTGATAATGCATCACGCGCGCGATCACTGAAACAACAGTATCTGTGTGTACCTGTGTCGATGCTTCGTAAGTGGGCTTATCGAAGGCAGTTAATTAACGTCATTTTTGAGAGACGATGTGATACTACAAATCATATCACCAATGCTAATAAAAAGTTGGAAAAAAAATTATTTTAATTCGAATGAAGTATACACTGCCATGTAAACTTCAGACTTCCTTGGAATTCTAATGGAATGATTCATCAAAGATAACATATCGTAGTGTAATTATAATATGACAAAATAATAAAGACAAAACAATAAAGTGCTCATTGGAGTGATAATTATTGGTAATTTTCATGAGAAACGATATTCTGGAAGAATACTGGGACAGTTCCGAAGCCACATATTGAATTAGTTTGCATGTCATGCATTCATTCATAATGTAGAAGAGATATAAAGCAGCCATTGTAGTGCCACCATTAAAGAATTGTCATTAATCGATTGACGTAAGTCCTTAATATGATGATTTAATAGAAGTCTAAAAATTAATAGACCATGATGAATTAACATTTACGTTTATCATGATCAGCGTTTTTTATTCTCTAATGCTCTTGTATTATTATTGAAAAAATTGTATTCTCAAAGTAAGAAAATTATATCTACTTTTGTAAATATTTTTAAATATTCTTAATGAAAATGATAATATTTGTATCTTTCTGTCAATATTTTTAAAATATTTTTTGGAACTATAATTTCTAACTTATAATTCTTGATAAAATTGACGATCTACGCAGTGAGTCTTTTGTACTTTTTCTACAGAGCAATACGTTTCTGCGCGGCAGCGACATTTGTCTCAAAAAAGAAGCCTTACAATTTAAGTAGTGCAGTGTTTAGCTTTAATAGATGAATGAGGCGATGAATGAGAAAATAATAAAAAAAAAGAAAAATTAATCGGAGGATTTGACGGAGATTTATAAGTAAGTTTCTGAGATATACATGTTGTAATATATATTTAGGCACGAAATATATTTAATTTCTTTTATCAAATACCTCGCTAAAAATAAAGACAAAAAAAAAGTGTCACTTTGTCCTGTGAATTGAGATTTATTTATATACATTAATCGATAAGAAGACGACTATTCAGGTTAGAAAATTTGTCACAAGTACGAAATATTGCGATATTTAATGCTTACTTTGCATAGTCTGTTTAATCTTTTCAGTTTTTATTATTCTTAATATATGTATATTAAACTCATTTCTCAAATTTTATGCACTCTATACAAGTATAGACATTCTCAGTATTTCCGAAATGTATTCCAATTCTGAGAAAAATTATTATAAATAAGAGTAAGAGTAAATTTCACTTTATTAATATATTCTCATAAATTAAGAATATGTGATACTGATTTATTCTTCAAAAGAATTTCCTCTGAAGTTAAGAAAATTCTTTTGGCACTTATTTTAGAAAATTATAAAAATAAATGGAAAATTCTTAAGAATTCTTAGAGAATTTGATCAGTATTATTACTACAGTAATTGAAATATTTTTGCCATTTCAATACACAATGTTAATGAATGAAAAAGAGAAACTTTTATAAATTCTTCCATTTCTTTATCATGCTAAAAGTATTAATCGAACAATTCAACAAAATAGGCTTTGATGTCAATCTCAAAACCTGTATACTCCGCATGAATATATGATTAGGAAGACCAGACGGTCAAGAACTGATCACGAATTATTGTTTACGTCATGGATATTGTTTACGCTTATTCATTCATTAAATACAACTTGTATTTTTTGCGCATTAGCAAATGTGCTTGAGGTCATATTCTAGACCTTTATCTTTGACTGTGTCACAATCGTCACGTATTGCATTGTGCTCATGCAAAATGAAAAAGTAACAAGAGAAAAGCATTAAAATCAGTAAATATTTATCTACTTCAGACATTCGAAGAACATAAATTTAAATATTACATTAAATACAGACCATAAAGAATTATGGGAAAGGTAATTTACGTTGTTTTCTTTAAATATCTTTAGTGTCACAATTAAAAAATAAATAAGAAAAACTAACTGAAAGAGATCAGCAAAGTATATTATAAATTCTAAATAATAAGGCGTAACAAAATTCATTCCTAATACAAAAAAAGCAAAGAAAAAAATAGTACTGTTTAAAATTTTCTTCAATTTGATCACTACGATCATTATAATTTATTAATTGTTTTTCACACTTCATAATTGTAAGGGACATAGTACACAGAAAAATGTAAGCTTATCGACTAATCACAGTAGAAAACGTAAGACAATAATGTAAGCAGTAACAAATAAAAATATTGTTATACAATATATAACGAGAGGTAATGTCGCTGCGCGTAGCTTAGCGCCAAGACACTGCCAGTGTCTTCAGATTTGCTTACATTTTAATGCTTACGCATATCTGTCATATTGAAGATATAAAATTATCAAATTGAATAAAGCACAAAACCGATGTCTGAATCATAAAATATGCATACATTTACGTATCATTTCAGAAGAAGTGTCTCGTAAAAAATATTGTCAGACAACTCGATAACTCACGTCTAACTGCTCTGAGTTCTTTCTGTTTAATTCTGTCATTATGTATGCGAGTATAATATTATACAAAGTGGTTCGAATGCGCCGTATGCTCTCACTGAAGCTAGTCGAAATATAATTACAAATTAGAACAAGTAAAAAAGAAGCTTTCGACGAAATAATATATTATCATCTGTATACAATTCCGTCAGTACCTTAATTGCTCTCTCATGTTTACGTAATAGTAATAACTCATCACGCAATAAGAATTATGAGATAATCTCTTCCTGATCTCCTCAAGTATCCAAGTCACACGAAGCAATTGATTTTTTTATTTTGATTTATTATGCTGAAGCCGAGATCCTTTATTTCAAAGAAAGTAGATCAAGAAAACAGAGACAAGTTTTTAATTTCGATCTTCAGTCTCCAATAAATTTAAAAGTGTTCGATCAATAACGGAAATGCTGAGCACGCTGTCGCGAACGTGATTCTTTTGCCGATGGGTGTGCGTCTATCTCTTCTTACTGGAAATCTTAGAATAGAATTATACGCGGAAAAACGAAGAATTGCAAAATCCACTAAGAAAATTAAAAAAATATACATAATTAGACTCAGACAACGTAGACAAAGTGTAATTTTCTCTGCATTTCCTGAAAGGCAACAGTATAGAACTGAAGGTTACATAACAGATTCAAAAACATTGCAAAAGGACAGTTGTCATATAAATCCTATTAAGTGTAATTTTCCATAATAATTATACATATTCTGAGAAATTTCTTTATTAGAATTATTTTATTTTATTTTAATAATTATTGATTAAATAATTATTTTGAATAATTTAGAAACTTAGAAAAGTACTTTCATATTTCTGTAAGAGCAGTTTCATTCTAAGTGATTTTCTTAAAATAAAATGTTTTTTAATAGGCACATTGCTTTAGCGTGCACGCATTAATTAACAATATTTCGCTCGAAGTATACATTTTCATTA